TAAGTAAGAAATAAAGTTTTGGAGCATATATGTGACGACACCGATTAAGTTCATTTTGAAACTTTTGTAAAGAATTATTCTATCACCATCTTGGTTAAGGATGTTAAATTCGAATCTTGTAAAAATTGAATGGTGTTATTTAATATCTCGTGTTTCCGCTTTAACGGGGTGTGACAAACAATGATAGCAAACAATCAGTTATTTCATGAACGACTTCATGTTTTGGTGCAAGTATTGCCCTTTCTTGAAAATAAGATGAATTCTTGATGTTTTCAAGAATTGAGGGATAGACAAATTGTATTAATGCATATATAGGATCGACTGAATCGGTAATGAGAATATCATGAGGTTCTCAATAACCGCCTCACCATCATTATACTTTGCCTTCTCCTAAGTCCAAAATCCAGTTTGCAAAAGCCCTTGTTTGTTCAATTTCAGAAAATTCACTATTTGCAGTTAGTCTCATGTTCTTAGTTAACCTTAGGACTTAGCATTTTTCCCACATGTAAGATGAGCTTAACAATGCATTTACAATGTCTTGTCTACTTGCATTGGGAATAACCGACAGAATTTGTCTGAAATCTCCTTGAAAAACAATTATCTTGCCACCAAAAAGCATTAGCGAGTCACTAATGCGTCGACTATTGAAAATATCGTTCATACTTCTATCCAATGCTTCAAATGCATGCTTATAAACCATTGGTGCCTCATCCCATAGTATCAAAATAGTCTTTTTTTATTAACTTCGCAACATCACTCTCTGGCTTTATGTGACAAAGAGAATCTTCATTGCTAATGAGAGGGATTTGAATGCGAGAGTGTGCCATCCTGCCACCAGTAAGAAGTAAAGAAGCAGTACCACTAGAAGCGACATTTAAAACAATTTCTCCTTTAGATCTTATTGATGCAGCCAATGTCTTCCATATGAATGTTTTACCTGTTCCGCCATGCCCATAAACAAAAAAAATACCACCTTTGTTCTTTTCAACAACGGTTATGATTTCATCATAAACACCTCTTTGCTCATTTGTTAGAGCAGTTACAAGCTTTTGAAACTCATCACGTAAATTATGATGGTTATAATCTAGCTCTTCCGTAATCAAAAGATTGTTTGAAGATTCAAGACAATCATTATCAGGATAAGGCATAGTGGTGAAGTTTCTCAGGGTGGAATTGTTACAGAGTAAAATCTTTTTAATTTCAAACAATGTTAGGTTCTTCACTTGTTCTTCATTGAGGGATAAATCTGTAAAAATATAATATAAATGTAAACAATTAATACATAAAATTAAACTTAAATACAATTTAAGGAAGAACATAATAGTTAACAAATACAAAAACAATAAATTCTTTAGTATTTAGATAATAGTTGTGTAAATCTATACTTAAGATATACAATTAACATACCTGGAGACTTTAAAGCAATTTGTTGATTGTAGAGAATGCCATCTGCTAAGTATTGCCATGTTTTATGTTAGATAGACTGTTTGAAATCAGCATGACTGCAAATAAGAAGCGTAGATAAAAACCAGATACGGTTAAATTTGCTTCTTCAATGGCATCAATATATTCCTTATCATCGTCTAAAATCCCAAGAGCATAACATGCATCTCTAAAAGTAAGAAATATATTTCCATTTACTGTACGAATGTCTTGGAATGATTTAGGACCTTTCACTTTATTCAAAAGAATTCTTAAATAATATGCTTCTCCTAGAGTAGGAGAAACTAAATGAATTCGTCCAATTGAGAAGCCTTTTTTCCTTCGATCCCAACGTCGCTCTTCCAATTTCCACACAAACTTTGTAGGGATTTCAACGTAAGTGAGTTCTCGTGCTTCTTGATAAATTTGATTACAATTCATCCAAGTTAAGAACATTGAGGACGCCACATATGGTCTGTTTAGGACATTTTCAATATCATCTTCATCACCAAATACCATTTGTTGTTGTCCTGGAAGATGGAAAGGAAGCCTTAAAACAGAAGGAGTCCTATAATGAACATCGTACCCAAAAATACTCCATGAAGCTTCACATGCCAAAAGATATCTACAATCATAATATTCCTTTATCTCATCAACATCATTAATAGTAACCTCATCATTACTGTTTTCTACAATTGCAGCAATAGCTTTATCTGGACCTTTGTTGATATATTTGAACAAATATTTGATTGAAGAAGTCTGATTGCACCACTCAACATTAATGTATGCTTGATATCTTTTCAACAGATGTTTGTTATATGGAACGACATTTTTGTTGTCTAGTTTAACACCTGATTTCTCAATAAAACGTCCGTCATCTCGTCTGCGGTATAAAGGATAACCATTAACATCAATGGAAGTGTGTTCAGAAAATTTCTTCGGGTACCTTTGGAACACTTTCTATCAATCATGCAGGGACAATTAACATCATCTCGTTTGCGGTATAAAGGATAACCATTAACATCAATGGAAGTGTGTTCAGAAAATTTCTTCGGGTACCTTTGGAACACTTTCTATCAATCATGCAAGGACAATTAATATTCTCTTCGCCACACGGTCCATGGATCATGAACTCTTTTACAAGTGAGTACAAATCTGGATCTTTGTTTTTGTCTGGGATCCCAGCTGAGATAATAGGATAAATTTGTTCAATAGTAAGTAGCTTAAAATCAGAGTGCATAAACAGACATATATGACTGTGAGGCAACCCACGCTTTTGAAATTCAATTGTATAAACAACTACAACAAAGTGACAATTTAAATTAATAAAGATATAATTGAAGTATGAAGAAATTTGTTGACACTGTTATCATAAATTGAACATACCTGCTTGAATTTTGCCGAATAATTCATTGTCTTTCAATTCTTTAATAAGTGCATCAAACTTGATCTTAAATAAATGACAAAGAATGTCAGGCCTGTCTTCTGGATTTAGCCCGGTGTCTTTAACAAATCTTCTAATTTCTGGCCATTTAGGATTACATGTCATGGTTAAGAATAAGTCTGGATATCCATACCATTTACAAAGGGACATTGCATCCAAATAATTTTGCATCATGTACCGAGCACCACCGATGAAAGAAGAAGGTAATATAACACGTTTCCCAATGTTTGAAGCATCCGACTCTCCTTGCTCTTGTACATTGCGTAAATTATCATAAGTCTCGCACCTTAGGACTTTCTGCTGCTTACTTGTGTAATGCAATCTCTCGATTTCAATCATTGTGTAACCATCAACAATAAATTGTTGTAGAAGCCTTCTTGCATTAAGAATTAATGAAAACATATTTACCCTATCTTGAAGTTTTTGAAGGCGAAGAACTCCCTCATTGTTACAGTTGCTCTTTTACTTTTGCTTGAAGATGTTATCTCTCTATGGGGAATGTCAACCTTGTAACCATCTTCTCCGTATGGAAACAACAACGGATATTGAAGAGGAAGGTAAGAAGGATGTAATTCACTTATTTGTTGTAGATAACATGTTTGATGTTTTACAATGATATCTCTCTTCTCAATTGTACCACCATCATCTCCAACAATTAAAGCTGCAATCTCTGAAGTAGTTGGAAGGTTATATGTTCTTCCCTTCTTTTCTCGTATTCCAATCAGCCGTAAGTTTAGCTTCACATCAGGATAGCATTCGAAGAAATCTCTTGCCATTCTATAATACTTCAACAAAACATTTTGGGCATCTAGTATGTTATTTAAATATTGAATAATCTCAATATCAAGGGAATCAAAATTTGATGTAGACTCTTCTTTTTGTTCACGAATTACATCATAAAAAATATAAAATGAAAGTGACCATTAATATAACCATACTATGGAATTCAAATAAATTTATTAAGAAGTATAAGGATAAGGATGAATATATACCGAAAAGAACTGTGTCTATTTGAAACTTCATTCTCGGTATCATATATGTACAGTTGAGAGAATTTTGGTTTGGATCCATCTGGTTGTAGAAGACTGCCAATTCTATGGTAATTTTGACCGTTAAGCCTGTATATGTATGGAGCATTACCACTATTAATAGATGAATCAATTTTCCTACCCATTGAGGTAAATGAGAACATTGAATTATAACGACGAATGTTCTTCATGAAGTATTTGCTTTTTGAGTCTTGACAACGGAAAAGATTTACGTAAGCTGTAGCCATTGCTTTCTCTTTGGGAAGCTGAACTTTGTCGTAAAGACAACAAAGGGAATAACTTGTTTTCATCCCACATTTTTTCCCTCTAAGACCTTCATCTCTCCATAATTTTGCGTGAAAACATTCACAAATAACCATTTTATCATTGTGATCCAAGTACTCTGTTTAATAATATGTTTTTGAAATATTATAATAAATTTGATAGCAATAACTACTTTGAACTGTTAAATAATTGATTAATCAAAGGTTACCTTAAGATATTCTTGCAATTCTGTTTGTAGCTTCTTCTGGATCATCCAATTCTTCATCTAACGTAATGTCTATTATGGGTATATCAGATACATTTATAGTCTTCTTTCGTAATCTATGTTGTCCTGATGATAACCTCACCATGGAAGAAGTTTGCTCTATTGTCGATGAAGTCATTGATGGCATGGCATTAGAACGCAAGGAATAGTATCTATTTACAAGAAGTCTGCCTGTTTGAAATATAAAAATTTACGTAATTTGAAACATGTGTTAGAATAGAAATTAATGAGATGTTTAAGAGATTATACATACCATTGGAACTATCAGATAATGGACTTCTGATAGTTACATTTGAAGAAGAATGTTGAATGCTTGTATGTTCATACTGACGATATGTGTTTGGGTCCATATTTTCATTATGATACGAAATATTTATGATATTTTCGTATCATATTATCTGTAAAAATATTTCGTATCATAATGAAAGAAACTACCTTGAAGTTATTATTTCAACATATAATATTTTAGTCCAGAAATTGAGCCCATCCTCTAAGTAGCCTGGGAGACGAATATCTTAGTCCTCTTCTTCTAAGTCTGGAGGGAAAATTTGGAATACAGCAAGAGACAGAGTTCTTACTCAAGAGTTAAGTGTCTCATCGATAGAGCCATGCTATATTCCAAGGAAGATGAAGGCTTGAGCACCAAAAAGCTTAATGCTTGATGCAGAGCTTCACTCTAGACATAGAGACTCTGCATAGTACATGCAGAGCCTCTGGCCTCCTACTCCCACGGAATGCGCACATGGTTCAGACTTTCCCATAAGACTTCTCATTGTCTAGGAGATGAATATCTTAGTCCTCTTCGTCTAAGTCTGGAGGAAGAATCTAGAATACATCAAGAGACAGAGCTCTTACTCAAGAACATATCATAGATTTCTTTCTAGTCTGTGAGAAGATAAGTTGAGTCATCTTCTCCTAAGTCTGGAGGGAATTCGAACGGACAGATTTGTAGAATTGGAAAATCAAACTTCAGATTCTGGGTGTGTACGTATGAATGCCACGAAAGTAACTCAACTGCTGTCTACAACTTCTCCTAGACTTGTGTACCTAGAGGTCAATCTTATTCGTAGTTTGATATCAGTGATGTAATATTCGCATAGCTCTGGACTGGAACTCTGAATATCGTTCGATCAGGCTACTACTCTGACCACATCAGAGTTACAACTCTGCAATTGACAGACTTATAACTCTTAAGTATGTAAATGCGAAAACGTTTCCTATTCGGAAAAGCATCCTGCACAGTCGAAGTTCCTACATTGATCATTACCATAATAAACGAACAACCATCACTCAGACTTATAATTGAACATAATCAAAAGTGCAAACTATTTCATATTACAATGACTGAATTTGAAAATTCAAAGGTTACTTTTGATTCGGTATTTTCCTTCTATTATTAAAGTAAATGCAATTTAATACGGAAAACATGTCAAAAAAGTAAAAATAAAATAAATTTCTTCAATAACCGGATTTGAAAAAAGTAATTAAAACATGGAAGAAAGAGAGAGGCGCACCCGCAAATCGATGCAAATTGCAAAGGGCATCAACTTATTTCAAACTTTAGGAGATCATTTTTCCAATACATCTCACCCTACACGTGACTCTCTATCCTTCTCTTCATCTCTATATATACCCACATACACATATTGTTTTGTATGTGCAAATTAAATATAGATGAACGAATATTAGGGTTTAGAGGAAGAAGAAGACGAAATCAATGGTCTGTTCAGAGAAGGAAGCAATTAGTGGTTTGTGAGGGATATTTCTTGGTTCAATGCATTCACTCTTTTTATTATGATATTGAAAAGAAGGGTGATTGCATCGGACCAAGCTTCATTCCTTTCAAATCCTTTTGTAATAATCACATGGCTAATAAGGTATTACCGGAGGAGTTAATATCAGAAAATTGAATGTTTAATATTTATATGTTCTTCATTTCTATAACTCTTTGCAACTTTCCTTTTTAGTGTTCTTTCGAATATGTTTGGTTTTACTGGGTTTTAAAACCAGAAGAAAAGGGGTACGTAATTTGTTGATATTAATTTCAATATATTCATATTATTTCGAAACACATTTTACATATGAACTTGTTTTAATTTTGATATATCTGTAATACTTCTTTTAATGGAGCAAGGAAATACATTTATGCATAAAGACTTAAAAGTCTTAAGGTGAAATCATAATGCATAATATAGAAGTTGTGAATCTACCAAATTGCAACCGAGAATTTATTTGTCAAAGATACTGCTCCCGACATATTCTCCCCAAGAATAAAGAGAGTACGATTGAGCAGTTGATGTTGTCGAAGATGTCGATTCCAATTCCAGTGTCAGATGCTCCTTCAAAACCATTCATCATTCGATTGTTCATAGCTTTTTCCACACGAATAGGGTTTTGCTTAATCTTATTTGGATTTGAGATTAGTACTTGTATTATGTACATGTTCAGATAGCATATTTTTCTTATGAAGAAGGCTTAAAGCTAATATAAGTGCTATATTTAAAATAGTCTATATAATTATCACTTAAAATAACATATGTCGCTTCCATGTTATGGAAAGGATGCTATTTCATGCATGAATGTGGAGTTCAGACTGTTAACTATTAAATATAGAAGACCATAAAGGATAAATAGTTGGAAAACCATATTGCATAGTTCAACCTTGTACATTAACATATTTAGGAACCCTACAAACTATGAAAACCAACGCTATAGCAGTGTTGTAAGTTTGGAGAAAAAGTATGGGAGTTTTATTCTAAGTCTGAGAAATAACTACACAATGTAACTCTACAAAACATAATGCAGTTGGGTTATCGTTGGAAAGAAACATTTCAACAATCTGCTAAGTCCGATAAATAAGAGATAATTCATCGAAGGTTAATTATTCACAGTTTTGTATTAAGTAAGTGAAATGAATTTGAGAAAACATTTGGAACGTAACAAACTACAACCGTATATTAAGAGAGCTAAGGGAACCAAAAACTCTGGAAACCAACACTAATGTAGTGTTGTAAGTTTGGAGAAAAAGTATCAGGATTGTTATCCAAAGTCTGAAAAAGTATCAGGATTGTTATCCTATTAAAGTTGTACTTATGAGTTGCTTTATATGATTAGAAGTTCTTTTCAAAGTATCACTCTGGAAATAAACAATTCATCTGTCTACTAAGTCTGAGAAATGAGTAACAATACATCAAAGGTTCATTATGCAGCGGTTTGTACTAAATATGTAAAATGAGTTTTTAGAAAACATTTAAGGCATAGCAGTTTAGACTTCATACATTTGCATAGGCAAAGCAGAACGGCCGCATGGACTATTCATGAGCTGTGTATGGTAGTTCAGACAGTGCTCCATCTGGAAAATAAGACTTCAGAGTTGGGTTGAGTGAACTCTTCAAAACGACTCTTCAAACTTATACTGTAGGAATTTAACTCCAAATGTGAAGTTTGTTTAGTACTACTTTGGAGCTGTCTTATAAGGATGGAAATTTAATGCACATTATAGCTCTGGAAAACAACATAGCAAAGTTATTGTATAAGTCTGGAAGGCAACATCTCAGAATTATATTCCAACTCTATGAAATAACTCTGACCAATTAATCAAGGCCTAGAAGGATTCAGAGTACTCCCTTCTCATTGCCTAATTGTAATGGCAAAACGAACACAATTATGTAGTCATGCAAATAAGTTTAATATTAAATCCAAAATAAATAACAAATAAAGCGTATAGCATAATAAAATTACCAATTCAGAAATATCTGTTC